ACGTTGGGTGCGGGAGGTAACCTATACTTATCCCTTTTATGACTGTTGTAAGGGTGAAGCTACTGGTGTCTTAAGCTGGCTATACACTGACTGAAATTCATCCGGTTCAGCAGAGACCAGCCGAATTCCCATCAGTGTGTGGCTGTTCCTGTTCAACAGAAGTTGATCGCTTGTTTGACATCTTTTGAAGGAACAGGTTAGAAAATGTTTTCATTCAGAGGCTCTAGCTTCTGATCAGTGTATTCTGACGGGATTTGTGTGGATGGAGGAATCTGTTTTTTTGTGTATAGACAGCTTTAGGCCACAAGATCAAATTGAACCTTAGACAGGTCATGTCAGCTTTCTGGAATTAGGCCTTGAACACATGGGCTTCCAGCATTTTAAAAGGCATTTAAAACTTTTAGCTAACTTTAAGAAACTTTCTAGGGGGCCTTTAACCACTTGCCCTGCTACAGGGCGGCAGGGCTGAGCAAAATCACACACATATATATATACACATGATTTGCATATCCGGGTAGGGGGCGCGCGTGTGTGTGCACTGCCCTTCCCGCGCAGCTATTGACTGCTAGAGATGTCAATCACTGGGTCTCGGCTGGTGATTCCCGATCAGCACTCGGTGATCATCGGGGAAAGCTGACAGGTGAGAGACCTGTGTGTAAACAACACAGGTCTCTCTCCTGTCAACATGGACATGCTGTTTTGAATCTCTCTGCACAGCATTTCTCCCAAGTAAAACACAGCACACAGTAAAACACACACAGCACACAGTTAACCCTTTGAGCGCACCAGATGTTAACCCCTTCCTGCCCAGTGTCATTAGTACAGTGTCAGTGCTTTTTATTAGCACTGACTACTGTATTAGTGTCAGTGGCAGTTAGTCAGTTCCCACCCAGTGTCAGAATGCCCGACGCAGTCCTGCTATAAGTCGCTGATCACCGCCATTAATAGTATTAAAAAAATTAAAATTCCAGTACATATACCACCATTTGTAGACACTATCACTTTCATGTAAACCAATTAATTTAACCATATTTGTATTTTTTTTGTAGCAGAATACATTTTGTCCAAAATTTATGAAGAAATTTGATATTTTAGATGTTTTTATTGGATATGTTTTATAGCGCCATATCGCAAAAAATGGCCTGGTCAAGAAGGGGGATAAGTCCTCTGGAGGGCAAGTGGTTAAAGCAACCTTCAGCTTGGGAGTGTTGTCAAGTTAGGGCGTGTTCACAATTGGGCAGAGTTTGGTTGTTTCCTGCACAAAAAAACTGCTGGTATCCACAAGGACACACAGGAAACAATTGCTTCATACTGTTCATATTGTAATGCAAGGGACAGATGGGGAGTGGGAATCTGCATTTTTAGCATTGCAGTACAGCTCTCCATTACACCTTTGAAATTTCAATAAGTTAAAAAAAAAAAGTTAAACAGTGCCTTGTGTTGTAAAAAGATGCCCATCCAGCATGCTTTCCTGTGCAGTTAGTGTGAACAAGCCCTTAACCCCCAGTTCACATCTATGCGGCCGTGCAGGCCACGTTTTGAATAGGCAAGAGAGCCCATTCATTTGAATAGACTCCCATGCCCGTGACACGCAGGGAAGAAGTCCCTGCACTTCTTTGGAAAACGCAGCCCGCACGGGAACCTCGGTTCCCAGTATGGTTGCGTTTTCCAGTGCGGGTGACGTGCCATTAGAATTAATGGCACTCGCCCGCGGGTCCACATTTCTCTGCATGGGTGGTGCGGCTGCACAGATTTTCATGCGGATCTGCAGCGGCACCACCCGCACAGATGTGAACCTAGGGTTAACAAGTCTCTAGCAGCCTGGCAGCACTCTAATCAACATGCCTGCAATTCATTCACACTGCCTACAGCTCAGAAACCGTTTGCCCATACAGAGATATGGGAAGAGAGCTCTAGGCAGTGTGTGCAGGAGTCTTACATTGCACCCACAGTCTGCTGATCACAGGTGCAATGCTCTGCAGGAATGCACATTTTTTTTCACTTGCAAAAACGTGCATTTTTTTTCAAAAGGCGAACTTAACCTTTAACACCCTCAAACTGGAACTTAAGGGTGCTGTAAAGACTTCAGTAAAGCTGCTTCAAGCTTGCTGTACACACTGCTCTTATACAAATGAAGCTCTATGTATTCAAGGCCTTGTATGATTTTAGATTGCACACATACACAGCAATTTATCGCTTGAAGGTAGAAATAATTTTGGTGCTGTTGTACAATCTAAAAAAATGAATGAACAATCAGAAAAGAGAACCTTGGGAGATCAGTGTCACAGTAAACAAAAATCCTGAGAGTTGGAAATTACCATCAGATTCCCCAACGTTTTTCTCTGATTGATATAAACCATGCTTCACTGTTATAGGAGCCTGTCCTAAATACACTGACCAAAGGACTTGTTTATTAAAGCTGAACTCCAGGAATTACGTTTGTTTCTATACTTGTATTGAGCTACCTTGGCTTGATGTAAGCATGCATGTATGATATCAGGAGGGCCACTGGGGATTCTGTAAATCATAGCAATCTGTGCTATGTACAGTCAGAGCTGTGATCTTATGCAATCTGTGCAAGTGGTTTCCCCTCTGCACACTGACCACAGAGGTTTGCTTGCTCGGCACCTCCACCATTCATAGAATGCCTTGTATTTTGTTTGTTTTTTCCAATTAATTCAATGTGATCTCTGAATGGACAAGGTGGAGAGGAGGTGTTGTTATGTATGAAATAAAAAAAAAAAAATCCCCATTTGATTTACCCTTTCCACGCTGTCAATGTTGTCCCTGGCTTCCTCTTCTGTTCAGCTCCAGCAGTCTGGAGCCCTGCCTGTTAGTCATACCTCCCCCACCTCCTTCCTGTCCCAGGGCACACATCATTGTGCAGGCTGAGCTCACTGTACTTCAGGACTAAGCACCTTCAGCCCAGGAAAAGTGACCACCCCCCACCATTGGAGAAGAAAGATTGATGTTACTGGACCAGCTATAAAACTGAATGAAAACTGTATGTGTAAGTTATTAATTTAAATATAGAATACCAGAGAGGGGACTTATGGGGTGGGGAGGTTGGGAGGGTTAGGTGCCCAGAGTTCCATTTCAAGTGATATAAACATCCCTTCAAGTGTCATTTTTTTAGCAAACATTTCAAGAATTGCCAGCTCTAGGTTTCAGCAGAGCCAGTCCCCTGTGCGAGAGCCTGCAACTACACCCCCTGGCACAGGGATTTCACAGGGGAAAAGAGAGGATACCTCTCCCACCCAAAGTGTCAATAATTATATTTCCATTGCATACAATGAAAAATACACACCAGAGTGCAAATTATCAGATTGTCACTGCAACCTCTTAAGTATTCAGTCATCAATATCCAACCTCAGAGAGAAGGACTTGTACACATAAGAGCAGCAATCATCTTGTGGTGATGACAGAGCAGAACCATACATTCCCTGGGTTGTGCCACCTGCAGAGAGCTTGCAATGTATTGGCAGACTTTGTATCCCCACAGTACCCAACCAGACACCAGTGCCAGGGGAAACCTGCTATGCGTATGTACCCAATATTGAGAAAGAATACTCCAGACTACAATCTACCTTAAAATATTTTTTTTTAAATTATATTTGTAAACATACATAATGATTCTGATTTGTAACATTGTCACTTAACTGGAGCTCTGCTCGCTTTTGTGCTCACAAAAAAGAGCTTTTAGTGGCTTTCTGTCATATCTGAAGCTGCATGAATCCTCTGGACCCTCATTAATGCAAGATGGTGCTGGCTCCTGCAATCTGTATGGAATACATGCCCTCTAAGCACAGACATTCTTACTAGGTTACTTTATCAGACATTTCCATCTCAGAAGACACAGTCCAGCCTGTCTGCAGCTTAACCTAGAGAAGACATTTACTATGCAGCACATGTCATAAAAATCCCTTTGCCATTGCTTTTATCTAGCCTGCCAACGATTCTCAGGTACAAAATCGAGAAGCTGGTGGGTCCCTTCCCTGATCTCCCCATACCCCAACCAACCACATCCATTTTTTCCCAAGCCTTGACTCTTCTTTGGTCCTGATCTTAGGACAATTGGGAGGTACAGTACACGGTTATTTTTCCGGAAAGGAATTTATTCTACAGAATATGAGTTTATGAGGTACCAAAGAGATGTGTGGCTTTAAGGATTTTGTCGGCAAACACGGTTATCACTCTTTTTTATCTACTGTCCATTTGTCAGTGTCATTGCCCATTTCTACGTTGGCACCTAAAGCCAAAGACATTATTTATCCAGAATCACTCAAATCAAAATAACTTATGTGGAAAATATGACTTGGAAAATGGCTTTTGGACCCGCATTGAGGTAAAGGTTCCTCAATGCCATCACCCTTAGTGGATGTTTGCAAAGCGTTGACAACGCCTTCTGTGCGTTCTTAGCAATCGGTAACTACTGGGCTGTAAGAAAGGGCAATCGAAAATATTTTCTCACAGGGAATGTGGAAAGATCACTGTCATATAAATTAAAATATCTGCATGAAAAATGACCATATAAAAATCACATTGTTTAAAAAATATGCAATCCTTCATTGAAATTTTCTAGTGTGAGCCTAGGTTGGCATTTTACATCCTGCCATCTCATGGTGTAGCTTCGGATCCAGAGTCAGTAGAACATTCCACTAATATTGCACTTGGAAATAATTGAACATCTTAGTGTCTTCCATTTGCTCCACTGTTTTGCATGACTTAATGAGCTACAGCCACATATGCAATATTTAAACCGACACACTGAGAACAAAAAAGCTGGACACATCAAAGACCTTTTGGAATGTCAGAGGTCTTGAGTTCACCGGCAGCACCTGAACATCACTTCATGGACTGAAAACAGTGTGGCATTATGGTAATTAACTCCTCTACTCGTCAATGCGGTAACCAAACGGCTCCACTCTGGCATATACACTGTCAACATGTCATTAGTGGAATTCCAGGACTAATCCAGACCAGGGAAGAGGTTGCGTGACTCAGTTCTGCTGTAAGATGAGGTTCTCTAGTTCATCTGCTGAACGTAACAAAAACGCTGCTGATTCCCGGTAACCGGCCACTAGCTGCCTGACAGCATTAATTTCTGTAGGATTTAGCTGAGGTCTGGAGCTTGTGTTACTAGATGAGGTGGAGGTAGTTGCTAACTGCCTCTTCATGCTCAGATCTGTCGGCCCTGTAAAAAAGCAAATCAGAATTTAATGCATGACAATATAGCTGCTGCCTCTCGTTCATAGCTCTATTGTGCAGCCAAGCACAGTCATCTGTATACATTAGTCACGTGTCATTGAAACCACTGACAATGAGGCACTAATGGTTTTCAAGAGCAGATAATGCAGAAATATTATGGACAGGTCATTCATTTGCTAGAAGCTAAAAGAAATGTGAAGCATATACTGTACGAAACATGGCATCCTACAAGAAGATCAGTCACTGCATAACTGATATTTTTTTTTTTTTATATATAGATCACACTGATATTATAATCATAAGGAACTAGATACTTTCCTAAACTAAGATAATCTGCCTACAGAATAACAATTTATAGGAACCGGCGTTATGTACTTGACAGGAGGAAGAAGTGTTACACATATACAGTGAACCTACCATTTACACACCTGAATGAGCCAGGTTGTGATGATGCTTTATAATGAATGCAGCAGTTTGTTATATGAACTATAACTCGATACGTAGGAGTGTCTACTATTCAGTGTACTGAGAACAACTTCAATATGAGATCAATCATATGCAGCTTGGAATTATTTGCATAATAATAGCAACAGAAATAGGGCCAAGAAGACACCCCTCAAAAAAAAAAAAACCTGCTATAAGGGAAATCTGTGTGCTGCCATTGGTAAGGTTCTGAAAATGTTGACTGTCTGTAATGCTGATTTTCTGGCTTCAATGATTTGTTGCCATAGAGAGTGAATGGAAATCTATAAAACTGGAGCACATGTAAAAAATTAACATTTTTGGTAAAGTGAATGAAGGGCTAGTATAATGTTATTTCAGCCTTTTTTCCTGGTAGCATCCTCATCCCCCATTTTTGTGGTTACAGGGACAAAAAAAAGGAAACATATCCCCAAAGGGGTTACTGAAGGAAGTAAATTCTGCCTCATTCTGTCCAAAACTACAAAATATGTTTGGATGGAGTTTGACTTTAAGATCATCATGTTTATGCATTTTAAATGAGAAAATCAATATTATAGAAATAGCGTGTGCTGCCCTACCCATGATGTCTAATACTCAGACTGTATTTGAGCACTCCTTTAGATGGCACTGCTCCCAGCATATCTAAATATGTTGGGTTCTAATCAATTATACAAACATTGTCTGTAGATATTCAACAGTCACTAGCATAGTGTTTCCACCACATTCAATGGTACACAACTAGAATACTTGACCATGATCCCTCTATTGATGTTTCGACTACTACATTATTTGAGGCCTCCTTGTCCTCCTGATAAATCAGGTGATCAACTAGCTGCCACTTTCCAACTGGTAATCAGTTTATTTGAGGGTTAGCTACTTGTAAGGTTAACTGACCACTTCCTTAACAGAATGCTTGTTTTCTAATTACTTTCTCTCAGTGTAGCCTTGTCAGTTCATAGTTTTTATTGGGGCTTTTTCATAACCACATCCTATATGAGTGTAAACCTCTGCCATTTTTATTGGCTAAATGTTGCAGCCTCATGTCTGTTGCTTGCATTCTTGCTCAATAAATAAAATTGAAAAACATGTTTTTTATCACTATCCTCAGAGACGCATAGAGAGTTAGTGTGTCACTGGCACTAAAACAGATTCACAGAGGGAAATGATTTATGGAGCTTCTTGGATAAGCCACGTAGTAGCACAAGGCTGACAGTGGTACAGTTGCAGATTTATTATTATTATTATACAGTATTTATAAAGTGCCAATAGTTCACTCAGCGCTGTACATTACAAAGGGGGACAGAACATGTGACAGAATAACAACAATACAATGCAAAACATGGGGGGATCAAGGGCCCTGCTCTTTCGAGCTTACAATCTAGGAGGGAGGGGATGGTGGCACAGGAGGAGATTGCCGTGGGGGATGGGGTGGTAGGAAGAGTGGAGGAGGTTGGCAAGTTAGCAGGGGGTGGGGTAGGCTGCCCTGAAGAGGTGGGTTTTCAGGGTGCGCCTAAAGGAGAGGAGAGTAGGTGATAATCTGATGGGTTGGGGCAGGGAGTTCCAGAGGATGGGTGACACCCTGGAGAAGTCCTGGAGGCGGGCATGGGAGGAGGAGACCAGGGAACTAGAGAGAAGGAGGTCTTGTGAGGAGCGGAGTGTGCGTGCTGGGTGGTACTTGGATATTAGGTCAGTGATGTAGTTCGGGGCAGTATGGTGGACGGCTTTGTACGTCAGTGTTAGGATTTTGAATTTGATCCGTTGCGCAATCAGAAGCCAGTGGGGGGATTGGCAGAGGGGGGTGGCGGAAATGGAGCGGTTGGAAAGGTGAATGAGTCTGGCAGCCGTATTCAGGATCGACTGAAGTGGAGATAGCCCTCTTCCAGGTTAGCTGTTGATGTGACCTAGGTGTTCTCTCGTCCTGCACCCTTGGGACCATGCCTTAAAGGAGAAGTACAGCCAATGCTCTTTTGGCTGTAATTCTCCTATGGATTACAGGAGTGCAATTTGTTCTGCACTCCTGTGACCCATTTTCAACTGACAGCAGGCTGAAGCCTGCTCTTGGCTGATGTCACTCAGCCAGTCCAGGCTAGGGAAAGATCCCAACTTTAAGATCCCCCCACAGCCCAGTGAGTGCCGGGGGGGGGGGGGTTGAGGTGTTGACCAGCTCTGTGCTCAGAGCGGCTATGAGAACTCAAGGATCAGTGGTCATGTGATCACTGAGTTCTCACACATAGAGCCGGTGGGGGTGAGATTCAGCATCGAACCGATGCTGCATTCACCTAGGTAAGTCTAACTGGGGGAAAAAATTTAAACCCATACTTATCTTTTTAAAAAATAGAACATTCTTGCAGGGTGCTGGTCTACTGTGATCTCACAATATAGTACACATTGAGTGCTATCATGATCAATGGTTTTTACTTAGTAAATGTATTATAAAGTAATGACAAATTATTCATTTTAAGAAGAGGTATGAACTGAATGATGTGATTACAACATAAGTCAACCTGCAATGCGTAGGGAAAGGCTTATTACTCAATCGTCATCTACCACTTCATTACATCAACATACTCTATAACCCTAGATAAAAGGCTGAACTCTGTGAGACACTGATGTCTGCTTAATTCACTAGCAAATCACATATAGACTGAATTATGAGTTGCCTCATGATTAGATATCAGATCTACACTCTTCATTCTTATTATAAATCACCAACACTACTTAGGAATAGACTTTTCATATTCAGGTAAAGGTCACACATGGTATAACTGTAACTGGCTAAAATGTAAAAGTGTGCCTGTCAACAGCAGCACAGTGGCTAAATGGTTAGCACTTCTGCCTGGCAGTACTAGGGTCGTTGGTTCAAATCCCAGCCATGGCATCACCTGCCTGGAGTTTGCATGTTCTCCCTGTGCCTGCGTGGGTTTCCTCCGGGTACTCCGGTTTCCTTCTACACTCCAAAGATATGCTGGTAGGTTAATTGGATCCTCTCTAAATTGCCCCTAGTATGTGTATGTATGAATGTGAGTTAGGGACTTTAGATTGTACGCCCCTTGAGGGTTAGGGACTGATATGAATGTACAATGTATATGTAAAGTGCTGCGTAAATTGACAGCGCTATATAAGTACCTGAAATAAATAAAAATATATATATATATATATATATATATATATATATTGATGCCCTGCAGATTTTTTTTCTTTGCCTACTTACTAAGAAATAAGGGGTCTAAAATTTTTATCATAGGTGTATTTTAAATGATAGAGACAGAATATCAGCCAAAAATCCAGAAAAAAACGCATGATAAAAATGTTATAAATTGAGTTGCAGTTCAGTAAGTAAAATAAGTATTTGACCCCCAAGCAAAACATGATTAGTACTTGGTGTGTGGAGAAACCGTTGTTGGCAATCACAGAGTTAAGATGTTTCTTGTAGTTGGTCACCAGGTTTGCACACATCTCAGAAGGTCTTGTAGTCCACTCTTCTTTAAAGATCTTCTCTAAATCCTTAAGGTTTCTTGGCTGTTGTTTGGCAACTCGAAGTTTCAGCTCCCTTCATAAATTTTCTATAGGATTAAGGTCTGGAGACTGGCTAGGCCACTTCATGACCTTAATGTGCTTCTTCTTAAGCCACTCCTTTGTTGCCTTGGTGGTATGTTTTGGGTCATTGTCATGCTGGAAGACCCATCCACAACCCATCTTCAGTGTTCTGACTGAGGGAAGAAGGTTCTCATCCAAGATTTTACAATACGCGGCCCTGTCCATTTGCCCCTCAATGTGGCAAAGTCGGCCTGTACCTTTAGCACAGAAACAGCCCCAAAGCATAATGTTTCCACCTCCATGCTTGACTGTAGGGATGGTGTTCTTAAGGTCATAGTCAACATTATTCTTCCTCCAAACACAGCGAGCTGAGTTAATGCCAAATAGTTCAATTTTGGTCTCATCTGACCACAGCACATTCTCCCAGTCTTTCTCTGAATCATTTAGATGTTCATTGGCAAACTTTAGACAGGCCTGTACATGTGCCTTCTTGAGGAGGGGGACCTTGCGGGTGCTGCAGAATTTTATTACATGGCGGCCTATTGTGTTACCACATAGTTTGATTGGTGACTGTGGTCCCAACTGCCTTGAGATCATTTAGGAGCTCCTCCTGGGTAGTTCTGGGCTGATCCCTCACTTTTCTCATGATCATCCTTATCCCATGAGGTGAAATCTTGCATGGAGATCCAGACTGAGAGTGATTGATGGTTATTTTGTATTTCTTTCATTTGCGAATAATCACTCTAACTGCTGTCTCCTTCTCGCCAGGCTTCTTGCTGATGGTCTTGTAGACCATTCCAGCCTTCTGCAAGTCTACAATCTTGTCCCTGATGTCCTCTGACAGCTTTTGGTCTTGCCCATGGTAGTGCCCAAGAAAGAGATTCTTTGGACAGGTGTCTTTAATACACATAACGAGTTGTCATTAGGAGCACCTTCTTAAATTGACTGGACTAATCTGTGTACCACACGAGCACATAGCCAGTCTGTGAGAGCCTGGATCAACACAATTTTAAAGCATCTAAGTACATCTTTGTAAAAAAAATTACAAATGGAGTGTCTACTGCTCTTATATCTGGTTGAGTTGATGCCATCTATACAAGAAGACAGAAAATAAGCCTTCATTGAAATACAGGAAAACAAGCAAAACACAGACAATAGAAACTACAAAAATCAGGCATATAATCCTCATTCCATGCAAAAAAAAGTTTTACCATGCAGTGGGGCTTTGCCCGCACTACAAGTGTTAACTGCTCATTTTTGTCTAGGGGAGATACACTTACCTACTCCTCTGATCCTCCCAGCACAAGACCAGTCCTTACAGGTACTGCCCCCTTGTGGGTCTAGTGGTTTTGTGCAGTGGACTGTTGCTAATCAAGCCCAGAGAAAGCTCCATAGACCAGGAACATTCCACCACTGGACTGGGGGATCGCCATTTTCCAGTGGAACGAAGGATCAGGTGAGTGTAAGCTTTCCCCCCCTTCCCCCCCCCCCCCCCCCGCCCCTAGACAAAATGAGCAGCTGACCTGTGCAGTGCAGGCACAGCCTGACTGCATGGGAAACTTTTTTTTGCCAGCAGTTGGGCTCTCATCCTATACTACCCTGTGTACTGTAAGCAAGCTTTAAAATTAAGCACATTTGACGAGAGACAGATATGCCTTGTTTAATAAAACTAAAATAACAAGTGCATGGTCCAAATCACTTATACTAAAGCCTTATTAATTTACAAAATGCTCCAGCACGCTCATTGTTGGTTCAACTGAAACATAAATTTGTAGCAAGTTCAAGAGGCCAAATTATGAAAGTTGGAGAAAACAAGATAGGAAAAAAATGGAACTGTTGCCCTATTAAATATTTCGTTTTAATAATGGTTTTATTCTTTAAAGGGGCTCTGTCATTAGAGAATCATAGAGGCTTCCAATGTGAACTCTCCTCTAGAGAATATTTGTTTCCGGGCCTGGCATGGCTTCAGTCATGCCTGAGTCCCTGACAAGTATACATATCTCAGATTTTGAGAAGCTCATGTCTGTGACATAGTAGTGTAAATATTTTCTTGAGATCTGAAAGGCTACATTGTCTGAAATATAGCCCACAAATAGAAAAATTATGTTTCCACTGCATTGTAAAATTCTGATGTTCAATTACAGAGAAGCATGCAAAACGGAGGATGCTTCTCTAGCACCTGTAGTGTGCCTGCTACAGCATTCCTCATTTTGGAGGTGCATGGAGTCTATGAATTTTCAATGCAGTTGCTGATGAGTGGCACACAGCATTAGCTATGTAGCTGCGAAGGTCAAATCATTTACAATGAGTTGATTTCCCACAAAAATCAATACCTGCTAGTGTTTTCCACTACAGGGACATTACCACACATTTGTATTGCTAACACAGTAAATGTGTTGTTTAATGCTTAGTTTGATTTAATGTAACAAGAATGATTAATTGGAAATGACAACTTTCTCAGTTGTAACCCTTTAGAACACTGAATGTTTGTAGTGCCCCTGTTGCAGCCCTTGAAGGGAACCTGTACTCAAAAATGTGTTGGCAGTCTTGCTGATCTATAAAAAAATGTTATTTGTTTCTGACTTTCCTTTCTGAGACTCTTTCTGGAAGAAACATGCACCAAGTCAAGTCAGCACTCCTATGTATTCTGGGTCAGGGATTGAGAAAGAATTAAAGCCACTGGAATAGCTTGACAGCCAGTAAACCAGTATTTTCATGTTTGATAAGTTTTTTTTTGTTTTAACATTTAACATAAATATATGTATAGTGAAATAAACTGCTTTCTTGTGTAGTGGTCACCCTCAGCTGACTCAATATTAACAGTGGGGGTTATTCAAAAAATTATGTCGGCACTGCTTTTTTATTGCTCTTGTGAAAACTGTCATTATCGATGATAATTAGTAAAGGCTTGTATGTATTTGTAATCTGGCCAGCCATATATTTAAGAACATCAGTGATGAAAAGGCTAGTTTACATAGCTGTACAAATATTGTTTATTTTTGCTGATCAATAAAGCTAATAGGAGCTGGAATATAACTGTCCGGCATTATTCCTGAAATTAACTTAAATGTGCTGTCAATCTGGAACCTTCTTTGAAATGCAAAGGAACACAATATTGTTACAAAGTTGCTGGCACTATGGGACTGTTCTGAGTTTAGTGAATTCTAAACGACATGCTTATGTCCCATAAACATGGGGCAGTAATCCCATTCAGATCCATAGAATGCTAGTGCACAGGAAAGGACAGCCCAGCACTAAACATTTACTGGCCAGAATGTGCAAAATACAGGAGGCTGCCCATTGCAGGAGGTCAGTAATCAATTGTGGAGGGTGGGATGGCTCATCCTAATTAACATTGTAAGGACTTTTTTTCCATGACTACTAAATTTGTCTTTTAAAGCCTGAAATCATTTGCATCCAAAATGTTAATTTTTTTGTTGTTCTTATACTATGTATATTAAAAAAAAAACTTATGTTGTAAATTGTGAACATCAGAGCACAAATAACACAGGGCTAAAAGGTAAAATCTAATGCAACTCACCACTGTTCGAAGTATCCGAGAGATTTAGTAGGCCACCCCCTAGCCCCCGGTAACTATGGTAACTGTAAGTCCCATTCCCATTGATGTATAACACCTCTTGCGTGCTGGATACAGCGGACGTGGAATAAGTGACCTGTGCATTCTCTTGTTTAAATGGTTTGTCGGGTACTGCTGGTTCATCCTGCAAAGACAATTTGTGAACATACGTCACTGGAAAATAAGTTCATTTTTACCAGTTACAACCATAAAAATAATTTCATATTTATAATTAAATGACCTCCAATGTCTAATATGCCCTCAGCTAGCTGCTGATTTATCTGGGGAAAAACACTGCCCATATTAATAACACTGGTAACAAGTCTAATGTTTCCATTTTTACCAGACAGGCAGGTAAAATACAGGCCAGATGACAGCACTGCCTTCAGCTAGTGTATTGTATCAACACAGTTGTGAGGATCCTGCATGTGCTAACAAGGATAGCCAAAAAAACTGCAAATAAAACCTTTATATACTTCCATGTGTCACACTATTGCTGGCCAGATGAGCAAGGTAGCCCTTCACACCAGATAAAGCACTGAAGAATTGAAGTTTCCAGAAACATCTTTCTCATCCAGCTGGTGAAGGAGCAACACATGGAAGTTTGTGAGAATTTAATTTCCCTCTCTTCCAGTCCTCATCATCAACAGGATCACTAGTGGTAAGGCATTTATCTCCAACACACCAAGGATCTTTGAAAAAAGCATCCAAGAGTGTACTGGAATAATCCCATCATAACACTGCAACATTTTGGGGCCACTCAGGACCTCTTCATCAGGCATGTGACTTGATAAAGGGGTCTGGCACAGTCCCGAAACAATGCAATTTCTTTATGTAATGTTCCCAGGTGGTGGTTGCTGCAGCATCCACTTATTACAAAGCCATTTCCCGGAATGTGTGCAATGGAAATCATTTACAAGGATTACTAGTGTGACACAACCAACTCAGAAAATGGAGTAATATATGCAGTCAAGACTGCAGCTGTCAGGCTTTAGGTGACTTCTGACACTCAGGCTGTCAGGTTGTTTATATACCTGTGTGATTAAAAGCCACAAATGAGGGGATAATTGAATAAAGCCAATCATTTCAGAGATGTCAATCTGGGAGAACAGCTTATCAGGTGAACAGGATGGGACACATGCAATACCTGGGTGTGGTTAATTTGGTTAAGGGGCATAACTTAAAGTGTTACTAAACCCAGGACCCTGCATTCACTCTCTCTGGTCTCCCACAGTACACAGAACATGGAAATGCAATTATTTTAGTAAACATAAACTGCTAAATACCTTTTCTCATTAGCAGTTGGAGCAGTCTTGTGACTTCTGTCAGTGTCCAGAAGAGCACATGTTAAAGCAGGAGCAGTTTTTGTTCTGCTCTAGGAGGATGCAGAACCCTCTGTCTGGACAGTGCTGATTGACCCTGTGCTGATCACATGCATTCTCCCAAGGAAAAAAAAAAAACCCTCTCTAGCAATACACACCAAACTGAGCATGTGCAGAGTGTCTCCACTCGATATGTCTTATCAGGAGATAAGAGGGGGGAACTGGAAGAAGGGGAGGATCAGATAAGTCAGGATCAAACAGCCTTTTTACACAATGTAGGGGAATAACCCCTTAGGTTCCACAGTGAGTATAACACGCATGCTTTACTGCATATACAGACTGCTTTTACTGTGGTGGGTTTAGTAACACTTTAAATGGTGCATCATAAAAAGGAGACATAGAAAGTTGTGCAAGAGAAGTGGTACTGACCAGCCATACAAACAGAATGAGAACATATGCTGTATGCAATGTACATATTGCAGTGGTCAGGAGTATATACATCCTCGTACACAGCACCCCCTATGATTCATTCCAGCCCCTCATTCATTGCACAGCAAAATCCCCTCCGAGGGGGACACACACACTCATTCCTACATACTTACACTTGCATACATCTATTCATACATGCACATACAAATACACATATTCACACCCACATAAATATACATGCTTACTGTACATACATACAGCCTCTTCAAAAACCACCCATTCACATGTACCTGGCTGACCCAAGTATTTTCACTGCTTGCCCAACTTTCCCTTTCAGTAAACCTTCTGCAACATGACCACCAGTGTGAGGTCATGCGACAGCACCACAACTCCCGTGCCACCAGGTACAAGGCAGCTTTACAGAATGGCACTGTAGAGGTTGGAAGGTGGAACAGATACAGCCTGCAGTTTACTGTGGGGAGACTGGTGCTTTGTTGACTGGTATTGTGGGCTGCCTTTGTACCCCCATTCTGGCCCTGACTGTGTCATGTTTATACACAAAGAACAAAAACAGAGAATTTTATCCAGGGTGTAAAAAAAATAGTAGCACTATGTAATGTCCATATGTAAATGATGTCAACCTTTTAGAAACAGTAACCATAACAGCAAAATACACATTAACCTGATTTTACTGACTGACTGATTTTGAACACATATGAACATATCAAGGCTGTCTTGCAAAATAGAAGACACTTTGTAACCATACAAGGAAGAGGGTTGGGTCAGTGCCTCTGGTAAGAGGAATCAAGGAAGATCTGTGCATCATATAGGGTGACAGGGTGAGAGAGGTAAAAATAAACAGGGTGTCTCCCTTGGTTTTAGGGGATTTGACATGGCTGTTAGTTTCCAATACTTAGTCTGAAAGTCTGAAAATTAGAATTATGTGATTAACACCTACATTTCTCCTTTTGTTTAGCTTTAATTGATGAATCCATCATGTTTTACCCAGTCTATAAGGATTAATTAACAATCATATCTTTCATAGCTGCCAATTAGACTCATACCATAACAGTGATAAAAAATCTCATCTATTGCTGTTTGGACAAAATGACTGATTTCCTTATGAGGTCTATTACAACTATGGTGTTTGCAAACAATGAGCCAATTTATAATTTGAAAGAAACTAATTTTGTTCTGACTCAATGCTGCCTGCATTCAGGTGGGTAAGAGGGATAATTGGAACTTGGCAAAAGAATCACCATAATCCAATGCCAACATCTTTCCAGCGCAAAATAATTATTAAAGTACCATTTATTTTTCTGTTCCTCTGAGATTTTCTTTTTATTACAATAGGATAGATTCTGCTTTAATTCCATGTATTTGTCCCTTTTGCAGATCAAGGTTAAGTGCTACACATAGTCCTGGATAAAAGATTTATACTGTACGTTCAACATCAGCCCTTGCCTTCCATTAGAGAAAGAACCTACTTTATTAGTGAAGTTCTGGAATTTTCTATAGACAAGGTCAATTACATAGAAGAACACTGGATGAGGAGACAAGAAGAGCTGGCCCCAGCACCGAGTGGTCGTTGTCAATTTAAAAAGGGTGAAAGAAAATGGATTAGCAGCCGAAGACCAGGTATATTGTTTGCCATATGTGCAGTGCACAAAAGACTCACTACATAGTAGGCTCTCTGATGACAGCTTGTGCAGCAAGATCAAGAAACTGCTTTCTTGTGTACAAAATAGGATATATGCACTACATCGTTTTGAAATATTATTAGTTTACACTATCACATTTACAAAGATCCAGCCATTTAAGTGAGAAATTCTATAAACATTACATCTTTGTATTGTGGTAAGCTGTGAAACAAGTATGTCTACAGTTGCCTTTTCTCCCCCATAGATAAACCAGAAGTTACAAGCTGTACTAATTTAAAAAAGATACATTCCGGTGTATGTTACAGAAAAAGTATTAGGAAAAGTTTTAATCATTCTGCTAGGGGTGGGAGTGCTTTCTTTACATTTAAGTGGCAAAAACTATAAAAACATTAGTGGTAGGGCTATATATTAAAATGTATGTAGGGCTAAATGAATAATGTATCACCTATTTTTAATATTTATTATAGTTAAATATGAATCATTATTCTGGCTTTAATAAACAGTGGGGTTTATTTACTAAAGCTGGTTCACTCAGAATCTCGTGCACTTCTGCATAGAAACCAATCAGCTTCCAGGTTTTATTGCTAACACCTAACTGAACAAGCTGAGGTTAGAAGCTGATTGGCTGCCATGCACAGATGCACAAGATTATGAGTGAACAAGCTTTAGTAAGTAAACCCCAATATCTATTAAACCGAATTCTAATTAAATTTTTTATAGGTTTTTAATAAGTAACAAAGAAATACATGTTTATGAATTAAGCTAGTTAGTGATGTCCATTAGATGACAATGCAAGAAATCTACATATACAATAGCAGGATTATACATGGCAAAAGTACACGTGCTGTAATTGCAACTGTATTGCCAAAAAATAATAATGCTAATAATTATAAAGCCATAGAATACTTTTAATAATGTGTTTTTATTCTTTGTTCTATGGTGGCTCATTTGTCATTATTCTGCTGGGTATATTGTGGCATCACCAGGTATCCTAAATCTTCAAGTATTTGGGCTTCTACATCTTGGACACTGTCCAATATTCAGCAACACTGAACAAATCTTAAATCCTAAATACTTGAATGTTAAGCAGTCTGTTTAAGTGCAATGCACTTTTACTAGGTTTGTAAATGCCTTTTTCTCATTTGAATTTTCTATGTGTTTGAATGGGAAGCTCCTGAATAGGGATTTAATGACTAAGAAAGGAAAACCTTGCAGGAGAAAGGATCTTTTATATGCACTGTGGACAAACAGTACCAGACCAGTGGAATAATAGATTGTACCTAATCAGAACTTACCAAATTCCTCCCAAATACATTTTTCTTTGTCCCTTTAGACCAGTGGTTCTTAACCTGGGTTCAATCGAACCCCAGGGTTCGGTGAGTCAGTCTCGCGGGTTCGGCGGAGGTGAAGACCCACACCCGACTCATATGATTCGCGCAGTAAATATTCATTATTATGTTTTTGTTTTTGTGTGAAAATCATGTTTTAATGGTTTTGTTCTTTGTTCTTAACGGTTTTGTTCATTTTGTGCACCTATGTATAAATATATACCTAAATATATACCTATGTTTTGAATTTTAAAAATCATATTTTATTTTTCCAATTAAGAAGGGTTCGGTGAATGCATATGAAACTGGTGGGGTTCAGTACCTCCAACAAGATTAAGAACCACTGCTTTAGACTCTCTGTCCCTTTAAACTATATACTGTATATTGATTTTAAATAAACTGGAT